TTTTAATGACAATATAATTACAAAAAAATAAACCCATTGCACTTTCAGAACTATCTTTGACTTTGCATCCAAGTGCAGCTACAGTTACAGAAGGGCCAGCTCTTATGAAGTCAAGTTCTCTTTTTTTTTTTTAGCTTATACCCATTCTTACAAATTATCCTTGCTCGTCGAGAACAACTATTCAGACTCGTATACAACACACAAAACTTGGCTAATTTGATCTAGCCTAAACCAGCGCTCCAGTTAGTCTTTCTAATGTGGTTTCTATTCATCGAGTGGTGACGACATGGCCCTTCCATCCTTTTTTTTTTATCGTTGTTTTTAATAAAATGGTGCACAAAGTGACTCTTGGTGCCACAAAAAGAAACCAGTTCCCATAAGTAATTTGTTATTAGGGCAAATGAAATGCTGTGAATAAACACATAGGATATGATGTGGCAACATGTTAGGAAAGAGCTGGGGAAAATGCACGTGTCTGCTTCAACTAAAAGTACGTGGGTTTCCTCCGAGTGGGGTTTCATGGCATAAATGGAAAGAAAATATATAATACATAGATTGGGGAGTTTAAAAAAATCAGTTATACAAAATGGCAAATGTTTAGAGTGAAACTCTGGCTTTTAGTATATGGAATTTTTATTATATATGAACTTTGTTTAATTTTTAACCCACCTTTTTAACTAAACATCAATACTCAGTATGCAAAAATTGGAAGTTTTCAAGGCTTTTTAAAGTCTTCAGAAAGTTTTAAAATTGATGGTTAGACATCAGAGATCCTCAAAAATCTGAACAAGTAGAAGAGAAATAGTTTCGAAAAGTTTTGAAAACAAGTTGTGGTACTAAAATTAGATATCCAAGTCTCTCACTGTTTCTCCTGAACTTTCAGTATTTAAATATATGTGAGTTATGCATAAAAGTAAAACATTTTCCATGGGTTTTTTTTAATATAAGAGACAGTACCTTGTGGAATGTGTTGAAAGTGTTAATATTTGTATGCTTTGGTGATAGTTTTTTTTCTGGGAAGCTTCACACGTACAAGATTTCCCTACCCCAGATTAATAGTAACAATACAATCCTTCTCCTGTATTGAGAATAGAATAATGTGGCATTTGTCTTATGTGACTAGTGTGTGTTGTAATGAAGGTTACGAAAAGTGGTGCATCCTTCTTGATAACTAAATCCTACCTGTCTCCTGTGGTAGCTCTCGAGCTTGTTTTTTTAGAGTCATGGAATGGTTTGGGTTGGAAAAGACCTTAAAGATAATCTGGTCCAACCCCCCTGCCATGGGCAGGGACACCTCCCACCAGCCCAGGTTGCCCAAAGCCTCATCCAGCCTGGCCTTGAACCCCTCCAGGGATGGGGCATCCACAGCTTCTCTGGGCGACTTGTTCCACTGTTTCACCAGCCGAATCATAAAATATTTTGTCCTTATATCAAGGCTTTTCAGCCTGTGTTTGCTCCTACCCCAGCTCTGCTCTGAGGTTGTATCTTCTGAAATTTAGACAAGGATTTAAAAAAAAAAAAAAAAAGCCTCTGTTAATCTTTGTGGGGGTAGGTACTGGCTCCAAATAAAACACTGGAGCACTTTTTTTTTTTTTTTCCTCCAGGTTGTAGACCTCTGGATGGTGTGTAGAAGTCCTGCAAGCTCTTGATGTTTATAAATGACCGAGATCTGGGCAGGTACTGGATGGAGAGATGACTCTGTCTGGAAGGTGGCAGAAAAGAAAAATTAATGTGAGTCTGGAAAAAGAAAAATAAGACTAGCTGGAGCAAAAAATGTTCTGGAGAAAAATGTAAACACAAAAAATGTGCTAACTAGACATTGTCTTTCTCCAGCAGGCTTTTGGGAAATGCACGCGAACAGGTTTAGAAGATTTCATGTTGTTATTAGTTTATTTTCAGGTCATTTATTTAAGTGTCATAAAGAACATTAGCTAGTGGTTAGGGACTACAATATCCATTATATTATTCCAATCATGTGGACAAGTTTATACTACGTATGATTTACAATGGTCTTTCCGCAGTTAAAATTGTTATATTCAGGTACGAGGTTTTATACGTGGTTGTATCCAGCACAGTCCAAGTGGCTGAGCACAGAGACGTCTTTCCAATCAAAGTCCGAAAAAATTAATGCTTTTACACGAACGCTGTGGGTTGCAGGGAGAGCTGTTTATGGCTCTCTGCCTACATCCTTTATCATGTCTCCACTGTTGTTAGTAAAATATACAGAACTACTTTATGCCAAAACAATGGAAGCTAATGCAGATAACTTGTTCCAAAGTTAACTATCAAATAAATCTTTTTTTTTTTTAAACTGTTAAGTGAAATGGTGTTCTAAAACTTTTAAAAAATTGTCAAGATGATGAATACTGTGTGTGTAATACAAGTAAATACCACGGAATTGATTGCGCACACATGTCTTAAATAAAAGATATTAAATAGTTTATTCCAGAGAGAAATCGGTGAAGTTTTATCTAATATTATTAGAAATTCTGCAATGACGGATCAGATTTATAAGGGCTGAAAACTAAGAAGAAAACCTCTTCAGAAACAGAAATGGTGCACTGGGTGGATGATTGGCCGGGAGACTAAAGACAGGCAAGGGGATACAGCCTGCCTCGGTAGTCCGACCTCTCACATGTCAAGCAATTCTTCTCGATGGCAATGATTTCCAAAAACTGTTAGTTAAGTTTGGTTTGGTAAATCAGTCCTCTCAATTCAGTCCCAGACTCAGCGGTTTAGAGGAAATCCCTTAGCCCATTTCTCCTCCAGCTTTCCCCATGCGTAAATATATAAAAGTATATCCTTACAGGTATGTGAGGTCATTTAAAAACCTTGTCAAATGTCAAATTCTGTTACAAATACCAATATATTGCTCTTGTTGAATTGTCACCTGTTGTTGAATTGTCCCTTCCTTCCATGCACAAGAAATAATTAGGTGAGCTAAGGCACACAGTAGCATCGCGGAATATCTGGATTCGTGTCCTTACTTCAGAGGAGCCACCACCATCCAGTTTTAGGTCTATAATTCAGCTTAGACTGTCAAAACACCGAATTGACTGTTAAGAGCATGTACGTATGGAGTAGCCAGAGACAGGAACAGAGGAATTCAGCCACGATGAATTTCTACTTCTTTGTTCTGAGAATTTATACTTTTATGTTCTGAGAATCTGAGGGTGGCTAAGTTGCTGAGATAGGAATGGTTTAAACCAGGCTCATTGGGGAATCTCTCGTGTTTATGACACAGGTGGTGGATTTGGATGAGGCTGTTGAATGGGATGGAACTTTTTCCGATTGTATCTACAGAGCATCTCCAAGGGCAGTGGTAAAAAGGTCGATCTTGTAGGTGATTTGGTCAGTGGCTTGAAAATGTAGATAAATATGAAAATTTATCAAGGAATACACATTACAGGGGTTAGTTACACAGTGACTGACTTAGGAAAGGAGATTTACGTGTTTGGAGAAAAATCCTCAAAGCCATTGTCAAGAGTAGAACTTCAGCAAAGCTCCCATAGTATGCGCGTGTTCGTATTTTGGTAGCTATTTTGAAGAAAAAAAAGTCTTTTTTGCAGTTAACGTGCTCCGTTACAGGGTAAAGTGGATGATTCTGGTGTTTAGGAATATTTGTTTTGACAGAGAGGGAAGGGAGTGGTTTGTTCACAGCCCCGAAAGGAGCTGTGATGGAGTAAAACTCTGAAGAACTGTGGAGGAGGTTGATAAAGTGGAGCAAGTGTTGGCTTTAGTAAACAGCTCAGTAAACAGACTGTAGTGTGTAAACATTTGGAAATGAAAAGGAAACGACAAATTTAAATGTCTCTACTTATCTGGGAGAACCATAATCACACTGAAAGGCATGGAAGTAAATAATATTTGGGTAAATTAACTGGAGGGACAGGCAGGCGTTTGGAGCGAGGATCCCATGGTGGCTGTGCACGTAGTTCTCTTTCACTTCGTTTAGAAGAGTCGTGTTTGAATGAAGGAGCTTCACTCGAGTGTTTCCTGGGCAGGGACCGTCAT